TTTTCATTCGAAATGTTTTAATGGGACTTTTTAAGTTCAACCAACAAAATGGCAAAGTAATTAAAGTTATTATGTGTACATACTTCCTTTATCATATCAATTTTACTTAATTGCAATTGAAGCCTTTAATATCAATTACTGGTTTATAATATGTGCGTGATAAAGTAATTATATGTTTTTATTATTTTAGGGCCCACATTTTATATTATCAATATGTTATTATGATTTTTTTGGATTTGAATAAATTCAATTATGAGTATTAAATTTAGAAGTGACACTTTCCAACCTTTTTATAAATCTTAGTTACATGCATAAAAACTATTGTATCTATTTCTAACTTTCTAAATTAATTTATATTTTTATATTTACTTAAGTTTTTATTAAAACAAGTTGTTATGACTTCCTTTTATCTATTTATAAGCTATTCCAACATTCACAAAACAGTGTAACTAGATTTTTATAAATTTAAAAATCAACGCAGTGTGCAATCTACTAAAGCTACATCTTCCAAAGTTTTTACCAATATTGGAACTGTAGTAAAGGTTCTTGTTTAGAACTGAAGTCGGTACTATTATATTTATATACTGAGTTGAACTGTTCTATGCCTATTGTATTTACTACTAATTTATTCCAACATTTGTAAACCTCTTAACTTATATAAGAATATTTAAATTAATATTTCGTTGCCATATTAATTTAATTCAAATATTCTATGTCGATCTTGTCTACTTATAATTTACTCCAAAATTCTGTTATCCTCTTATCTCATATACCCCTTTTTTTGACCCCTTTCAGAGGTGGACTACGTACCCGAATTCGAGACGGAACTGGCGCACATGAAAGAGCTGGCGGACGCGAGCAACACCACCGCCGCCGGCGAGTCCCTCAGCCAGATGATCCACCGCCCGGAGGTCTACAAGCCCGTCCTGATGATGACCACCTTCTTTGGGTTCCAGCAGGCCTGCGGCGTTGTGGTGATCATCGTCTATGCGGTGCAAATCGCCCAGCAGGCGGGCGTTACCATCGATCCCGTCCTGGTGGCCGTAATGCTGGGCGTGGCCCGGATCATCACGACGCTCTTCATGAGCGGCATTTTCGAGAAGTGGGGTCGCAAGCCCTCTGGGATCTTCTCGGCCACCGGCATGGGCTTCTGCATGCTGCTCCTGGCCGGTGGCAACTGGTTCCCCGACACCCTGGGCACCTGGCACTGGCTGCCGGTGGCCTGCATCGTGGCCCACATCGTGTTCTCCACCATGGGCATGCTCACGCTGCCCTTCTTCATGATCTCCGAGGTGTTCCCGCAGCGGGCGAGAGGCAGTGCCTCCGGCATAGCCATCTTTTTCGGCATGATCCTGGCCTTTGTGATGCTGAAGATCTATCCCAATATGGAGGCCATCCTAGGCACGGCCAATCTGTTTGCCTTCTATGCGGGCATCTCCTTCCTGGCGGCCGCCTTCATTGGCACCTTTGTCCCGGAGACGAGGGGCAGGACGCTCGAGGAGCTGGAGGAGCGATGGCAGACGGGCAAGTTCACACGCCGACTCACTCTCAACAATCTGAAGGACGTGGAGCTGCACGAGGTGTTCCTTAAGAAATAATAGTAATGAAAAATATTTAAATGAAACAAAGGACAAATCGGGGGGTTATACTAAAGTTCCATGGGCACATTCAAAGTTTTTACTATTTTGGGAGACCCTGAAAAAAAATCAAAAATCAAATGTGAATATTTAAATATTTTTTTAAACCAAAAACCTAGAGGTTTCCAATGCTGATGAATGTGCCCATGGAGAACGCATTTCCATTAGAAAGCGGGTCGGGGTTTTCAATCTGTGATGTGTTAAGTACTTAGCCTTGGCAGCCATGGAATGCGGCAATTTGATAAACAATAAAAACCATTTACCAAGTAAACAAAAGTCAATTGAAGTGCATGTTGCAGCTGCGGTCGGTGGAAATGATCGGGAGACAAAGAAATTTCACACATTTTACACATAACTTTTTTTTTTGATTTTTTTTTAATGTATATATTTTTATACTTTTACGCCTTGTATTATTATTAATAAAACACATGTATAACTGCTATTTGCAACATACAACACATCAACAAAAGCAGAAATCTTCTTAATCATTTCTGGGTTAAAGCAATCTAGGAAGGTTTTTTGTATTATTTTTCAGAACCTCGAATGATTGTTATTACAACTGCGTTGTTGATTACTAGGAATTAATCAGCAGATTTTGTTTGCAATTGAAGCGTCTTCAATAGATAACACCTTTAAAACTTCCACGAAATTCTATAAAAAAATTTAGATAGACTTAGAAATTTATTACACAACTTCTTCCACTTATTAGGAAAAGTACTAAACTTTCAAAGATAACCTTTGTAAAAGACAAGTGCCTCTTATCCAATACTTACTGTGGGATCTCCAGGTTAATTGGCGCGTGCTTATTTTCCAAGTCGAGCCCACTTTCTGTATCAGAATTATGCAACCCATTGCAATACAGGGCCCAACCCTCAAGAGATTCAACCTTCAAGTTGTCCACGCGGGAATCCAAACAATGACTGGCCCGCAAATTCAGTTAATGCTAATGCTTATCGCCACTTGATAGTGATATGGTGTCTATAATATTGACCGATCGCCGGTGGGTGTGCGTTCGTGACACGATGATGGATCACGGATCATGGTGCACCAATCACCGATCACCGATCACGAAACGGGGGATCACGAGGCGAAGGATCGAGAGTAGAGTGAATATAGTGGCTCTTATCTGGACAATTGCGTGCTCTGACGCAATTCCGGAACACTAATTGGAGGCGCTGTGAAAACGTGTCGCAGCTATCAGCACCTAACGATCCGGAAAAAAGTAAAATAGAATCCCATCGAGCGCTTTGTTTACCACTTGTTGTGATATCAATACATATACTTGTAATTCGTACCGAATTGGAACTATTGGACAAGCACTTGGGGGCATTTCCACTCGAGATATAGAGTTTGGCGATGATATAATTCCCCAGGTGTGGCACATCCTCGAGCAAAGTGCAAATGGAGAGAAGTGACTTGTTGCAGGAAAACTATTCAAGTGATTTGTTTGTTGTCGAACACTAATGATAAAGTTTTTTTGCCAGTGACCGATATAGAGTTATGTATATTTATAAATTTGAAAATGTAGGACTAGCCATCTATTTGCGCGTTTTAAAAGACCTGTGCTCAAGTGGTAACTAAAAGCAATTCTAAAAAGGTATTAAATTAACGCCCAAACATTAATCAAAAGGTTTCCTTGTTGAGTGGTCTTGTGGCGCCTTTTGACTTTTCAAGTGGCAACCTTGGATTTGACCAAAAAAGTAGATAGCGACTAGTAGAACTAGAAATTTGATTTGTCAAAGAATGTGAACCACAATATCATTTTGCGCATACACAAAGTGAGTGCTTGATTAAAGGCACGCTCCTAAAATGAAAAAAAAAAGAATATGGATAAGAGTAGTCATATATTTATATAAGACATTTTTAATCTCGAAATCTTTAAATTAAAATAGCGCAAATAACAAAATATATGACCGTGTTTTCTAAATTACTTTTAAGTCAAGCCATAAATATAACCTTGAGTATACAAAAAATGTACAAAATTATAAAAAATAAAATGATTTTTGAGTTTCTTAGCAATTTCCGTTTACATATTTTAAGAGCTGATTGTTTTTTTGTGATGATACTTTTCGCAATTTTGCTAGCACAAAATAGTTTTCCCTAGTCGAATTGAATTTACAAACATTTAAACAGCGAATGGGGAATTTTTATAGATCTTAAATTGAATTTAAAAATCTTCTAGTTTCAACGATCGGTGTTTTCGAATCCATAGTGCTGTTAAGTTGCAGCAGTGCTGTTAAGCGCACTGTTATGTTTAAAAAGATCCCATCACTAAGAAAAACGACCGTTACTTTTGCGTTCTGTTTGAATTTTAAATGTTCTTTCGTTTATTTGTTCTTTTTGTAATGTGACATTCTTAAGTACAACAATTAGCTGCTAGTTCAATATATGTATATATGTGTTCTTTGTATAAACGAGTTAAAATTCAAGTTGTTCTTATTGGTTTTAGCCATTTTCTCGTGTAGTTTTACGAACTACGAACTTTTCGAGGGTCTGTCTGCCGTCTGTCTGTCTGTGTGTGTGTCTCGTTTATTCGGTATATTACGGTACATTACGTTATTACTTTTAAATATTTAGTTATTTCAAAAAAATTTCCGCTTGGGGGCTTAATAGTTATAATATATATATATATATACGTTTTGTATACGGTATAGTTAATATAATTGTTTTTTGTCGAATATATTCCCTTTGTTTGTTGCTTGCTATTTAAACTGTTTGTTGTTTGTTCCACTAAACTTGATCTATGTATGAATGTATGTATATTGCTTTTAGGTATGCATTTATTTGTAGGCATTTTGTAGTATTCTTACTCGTCGATTTTCTCTTTACTTTTACCTAATTCTCGTTATATTCTGTTTTTATATTTTGTTTCCGTCGTTTTAGTTGGTGTTAGGTTTTTAAAAAATCTTTCTTAGGGCAGTTCTCGTTTCACATACAATCGTCGCCATCATCAAATCGAGTGTTAACCTCACTATGCAAAAAAAATTACCTCACCTCTATGGGCGGTCGTATCTCCTCCTGGTAGTTGCCGTTTGTTTAACTCTATGTATACATATCTCTATATTCTTTTATTCTTTGAATTGTATATAATTTGTCGGTGTTTTTTATATTTATTTTTTTATGAAAGATGAGCGCTACGAGGGGCACTACATTTGGGTAGAGAGGCTAAAGGGAATAGAGCAGATAGATGGTCGAAATTGAAACCACGAAATAATACCAAAAAGTTTCATAGGATAAAGCGCTTAAATCTGTCTAACTTCAATCTGTCCTTCAACGGAAGCAGAAAAAGAATATACCTATCTGAATCTGAATCAATATCTGGGGTCTTACTAATCTCCACTTTGTTGAGGTTCTTTTAAGTCGTTTGTTTGTTTTTTGTTTTTTTTTTTGTGTTTTTCTTGTATAATAGTTTATATAAAAAACGCTTCTCTTAAGCTAGAAAAAAAATTGTATGCATATTTCTGGTATTTTGGTTTTTCTTTATAAAAAGATCTTTACCATCTAGACACATTTACTTTGATATAAAAAAATGTATAATGTATATTTACGTTACTTAACACTTTTCATGCTTTAAGTTTTTTATTGAACAACATTTTAAATGTATTTGCGATTAGGTTTTCTGTGAGGTTACCATGTTCTACAACGTTAGTTATTAAAAATACCAAAAAAAAAACTCTATTCACTTTCTGCGTCTCCATTCGATCTCGGCATTACAACAAAATTAGCTTGGCTTCTTATGAGTAAAGAAAAAAAATTGTCTAAAGGGTTACGAGATATAAAAAAAAAACAGTTTAAAAAACAAGTTCATTTATGATTTTCCTTTTGTCACATGCTCAAAAAATAGTCACAAAAAATATTCCCTCGATTCGCTATCCAAGAAAAAATGAATAAATATTTATTTTTGGTTTGCCTTGGCTTAATCTAATTACACGAGACGATCGACCGCATGCTAAGGTGCCATATGTATGAGTTCTTCCGATTAATCAGATATTCGTTATGCATCCGCTTATTCACTAAGGCTACTTTGGTTGAGACTATTTGCTTTCGATTTAAGTGAGTTTGACGCCGCCATCCCGATTGGAGGGGCTTTAGAATGAATGTCGCTTACATATTGATTTAATAATCGCTTTCGATTTTGTGTATAAATATTCGGTTTCGCTATATATCGGTTTTTATTCTTGTTTTTGAATCGTTATATTTAGTATTCAGCACAACCAAGCTGTAAGTGTTTACTGTGTCTGCTTTCTCGCTTTTCGCTTAAAACTAGTTTTTATTATTCTTATTTCGTTGACTTAATATGCCACACAAACTGGAAAATCATAATCCTAATAAATAGTTATCATAGTCTTAATCGTAAATAGGTATGTGTAAATAAAAAGAAAACTCAGGGGTAATGTTGTTGGTGTCGAAAATGTTTATTAAGTTGCCTTAAATAATTGTTTCCTTATTTTCTTGTAAGTTTTGTTTTAAGCCAGAGACATGGTAATAAAGTAATAAAATAAAATTGAAATTCTGAAATGTTTTTGTCATTTTAACAAATTAAAATGTTTTACAATTTTGTTGTTGTTTATATGTAATTCATAAAAGTATTTATAGAATTTAGCAAAAAAGGATCATCGCATATTTTGAAGTTTCATTAATTGTGTTGTTCTCTTTCATTAATTTATGCACCTACACCGAAAAAATATTTGTTGCCTGCAAATGGAGTGACTGGCTGAATTAGAATATCGAAAATGGTGTAAGACAAAAATATAAATTAAAAGAAAAGCGTTAAATAAAATACAAGGTTAAAATAATTAACAGTGTGCTTTTTTCAAGATAAGATAAGTTTAAATAATCATACCAAGTCACTCCTACGATTTTGTGTTTTTTCTAAGTTCCTTTCCATTTCGTTTATATTCTTTCTTTCTACTTTCCCATACAGTTTCCTCTGATTTTCGTTTTGTCGGGCTATTTATCACGTTTCTTTGTTACACGGATTTTGAATGTTATTTTCTTTCGTTTTTCTTGCTGCTACATGCTCAAGTTCTTTCGTAAAGTAAACTAATAAAAAAAATGGATTTCAAAAAAAGTTTTATACTTAGTAAAAAAAAAACATATTCATTATAGCTATGAAAAAAATGGGTTTGTATTGTAATTTTGTCTGGGTCTCTTTCTCCTTCTCCTACACAAGCATATTTCTAGCTAAGTTTTTTGTTTTCGTTTTAAATGTAGTAATAAACAGCCTGAAAACTTGAGCATGTCCAGCCGGTTTAGCCATTTCGTTACGTATAATATAGACAAAAAAATGGATTTATAAATTATGAAAAAAAATAATATGTATTCATATATCTCGATTAACTTCAGCTATAAACATACACGATGCCCGTGTACGTTGTTGCGGCATAGTTCGCGCCAAAAAAATCAGTTTCAGACACAGAGAAAAAAAAACAATCAGAGCTTATGTCTTCACGCCTACAAGTATGTTATATAGTTATAGATATATAATGTGTGTGTTTTTGTATAATATATATTTTTTGTATTTCTTTACGATTATACGTTATAAATATGTGACAAAAAAATGTATTTCTCATAGGTTTTTCTCTAAGTTTAAGCAAAAAAAAGATCGCCTTTCTCGTCGATTCCTCATTCTATATATATATATTTATATATATAATTATTTATGATTTGTATACATATACGTGTCTTGCCTTAGAGCTAGTTACAAAAAGAAAAAAAGATTCCTCCCAAAAAAAAGCACAAAAAAACCAACTACAACATAAGGGTTTGGGTGAGGAACATATAAAAAAAAAAAGTATAGTTAATTCTTGGGGTTTGAGAACATAAAATTTGGGTTTTTGTATATGGTTTCGATGGATGCTGATACTACGATGATCAATATAAGGTATTCATAGTTTTATATATATATATATAAGTTTGTTATATATAATTTCTAAGTTGAAGATTGCCTTCATCATTCGCTTCTCAACTCTCTGGTTATGTACGCCATAAAAATCCGACATTTGTTGGGTTCGTGGATGATGCCGTTGCCGTTGTGGAAGTGGTAGTTGCTGCTGCTGTCGCTGCTGCTGTTGTTGATGCTGCTGTGGTGTTGTTGAAGCTGTTGCTAAGATGCAGCTGCTGCAACTTGAGTGTTTGCTGATGCAGTTCTTGTTCAGTTGTCGACATATTAAAACTGAAGTCATGCTGCGGCGAGCTGTGGTGATTATTAGTGTTGTTGACGTGATTGGTACAGCTGTCAGCATTGCTGTTTCCAACCAGGTTGCTGCTGGATGTCTTGTTGAAGTTGCTGCCGCTAGCCACGTTGTTGGTGAAGTTGCTGCTGCTAGCTGCATTGTTGATGAAGTTGTTGCTGCTAGATACATTATTGGTGAAGTTTCTGCTGTTGCTGTTGGTGTAATTGCTGCTGCCAGAAATATTGTTGGTGAAGTTGCTGCTGATAGCCGCATTATTGGAAAAATTCCCACTGCTTGTGGGGTTATTGATTAAATTCCCACTGCTTGCGGGGTTGTTGGTGAAGTTTCCACTGTTTGTGGAGTTGTTGGTGAAGTTCCCACTGCTTGTGGAGTTGTTGGTAAAGTTGGTGCTGCTGATGGCACCGTTGCTGGTGAAAGCGCTATTGTTGTAATTACCATTAAAACTATTGGAGTGATTGGAATTGTTATTGAAGCTATTGTTATTGCCTATGGCAAGCAGTTGATTGCCAAGACTGCTACTGCTGCCATTATGGTGTGGTTGTCGTGATTGTTGTTGAAACGGCGGCGGCGACGGCATTGTCAACGGCAGCTGTTGTTGTGATTGTTGCTCCTGCGGTTGTTGCAATTGCAATTGCTCCTGAAGATAATGAAGGGCAGCAACTCCATTCTGGCGTATCGTATTAAAGTTTATGCTATTTGTGTTCGTGTTGTTAATGTTATTATTGCTTCCACTCGGACTCATACTGTGAGCAGCAACATTGCCCAGGCGTTGTTGTTGTTGATGGTAATGCTGGTGGTAGAGTAGCATGTTGTTATCGTTATTATTACCATTGCCAATACTATTGTTGGTGCTACTGGTGAAGCCCAACGCCTGTTGCTGATGTTGTAGTAGTTGCTGCTGCTGTTGCGGTGTCAATTATAAGTAAGGATAATGGTACTTCCTGCGGTACAATCCGTCAAGCAAATCGGCAAAGTTATCGCCTATATTGATTTAAGGTGGGAGAGCAAAGGAAAGGTTAGAAGAAAAAAAAATAAATTAGTTAAGTATTTCAATAATGTTTTAAGTTATCATGCGTCTTTATACTAATAAATAAATTGACAAAAAAAACTTATTGTATAACTATAAATTAACCTGAATGCTGGTAGAGCCCTGACTTAACTAGCCTAGGTGAGAGATATTAATTAGGTTTAGTATTTCTTTTAGAGAGTTTCGTTTGCCTTCTTCTTGTTTTTAGATGGTGTTGGGTTAGTGTTTATTGTTGTTTGGTTTTTCTTTGTTACTTTTGGTTTACTTTAGGGATTTTTGTAGTTTTAGTTCAAGCTGAAGTTTTGTAATTGCATTATATTTATTTTTGTTTTTTGATTACAAAGGATTTCCCACTCGATATAACACACGATTTAAAGGTTTTCGTAACTTTCATTAAGCGTGCCATGTTTTCTCTTTCCATTTTAGTTTTGTGGAACTATTGGGATGGGATGGGAACTTGGATTGGTGTTATTAAAACAAATTGATGACTGATCTGGTGATGGTCTATTTATGTGTGTTTATGTTGTGACTGAATCTGTGAGTGTACAGAAAACACTCACATACAAATATTCAAGTGCGTTCAAAGAACATTAGCAAGCAAAACATGTTGGTATATAGTTCATATTAATAATCTAGTTAGAGATTTAAACGGGTTTTGGTTTAGTTTAGTTTTTTGCAGCAAGAAACATTTACGAACTGGGGAACTTTGATGAAGTAACAAGAGTTCGCACAGCAGACAAAGCAGACCATGAGGGGATTGGATTAAACAAAAATCTAATCAAAAACACTAAACAAAACTTTCCAAACAAGGGGATCTATGAGAACTCGGTTTTAGTTTTAAAGAGGGGTGAATATTAAGCGCAAGCAAACACAGAATTCGTTAGAAATTTAACTCTTTAGAGGGCCAGCAGCATCAATTTAAATTCAATTATATTTCTTTGTGTTTTAATTTTGAGTTCGAATTGGGTTTCATCTAGAAGTACAATTTTTTTTGTTGGCAGTTTTTCAATTGGAACTTTTTAAAATAACGCTCTACGCTTTTGGCCATTGCTCAAAAAGAAAAATAGCATAAGAGCAAATGCCAAAGGCCAAAAAAAAAATGGTTGTTTATAACTAAATCGATTTCTTTTTTTAAGAGAGAGATGGTTTAGTAGCTGGATGATGATATGAGAGAAAGTAACAAAGAAAAACATGGCACGCTTTGAAAAGAAAATTCGGCTTCTTTTTCAAGTATTTTTTTCTTTATAAATATATATTTTATAGAGATAGATGAGAAATTTAAAAACTGAAATTGAATATTTATTTTCTGTCATCTCAATTATGTGGGAGCGCATGAGTGTGCGTGTGTTGTGTGTATCTGTGTAGGTGTGCTCTCTTCTTGATAGACTCTACTTATATAGAATATAGGCTCTGCTTTCGATCTCTCGGCTAGATCTGTCTTAAGGGCTCTCAACAAATAAAAAAGCTTTATAATTATTTGCTTTCCTGCAGTAGGAAAGCAAGAATCTATGATATTTTACGACTAGGAGTAGTTAATTAGAAATATAAGTATATAAAAAAGGAATAATTACTATCGAGACCAAAGATAGCATCGCATATAGCATCGAATAATGAGCGTAATTTTTCCATAGCTCCGTCTATAATGAAAAAAAGGAACGAAACGAAAAAAAAATTGTACAACTTGGATTAGTTGCGGCGCAGATTGAGTTTTTTTTTTTTTGTGGGGTTGGTTGATTTGCTTGATTTTGGATGAGATGGGGGAATAAAAAGATTGTTTTTTGGTTTATAGAGATTATTCAATTATTTAAATTGTTTTTTTCTTTTGATTTCTTTGTCAACAACAATCAATGAAAATGAGTTCAGTCGGTCGCTTTTCCTTTGGTTTTAAAAGGAAAAGCGACCGATTCGGGGTTAGTGCTGTGAGTAGATTAAAGTACAATAGAGCATCTACGGGCATGGAAACAACATATGCGAAATACCATGAAAAACACAAACTACGGGCTTGAAAACGGGAAAACAATGACTAAATTCAAGCTAAAAAAATTAAACCAAACTAAAAATGACTCATTTAAATCCAAACTGTCTTCGGCAATAGGTTCCGAAGTACGAAGATATTCTTGCTATTAATCAGGGGGATCATTTTGCCTGTTTACGAATACCTTTGTTATCGCAAGGATATCGGTTATAAGTTTGATTCTCATTTTCCAAAGCGTAACAAAAAACGTTGCATACTTTTTGGCTGATAGTGGTCAGAAAAGGATTAAAAATAATTAAAAATTATTTATGTTGATAAAAGGATTTGCAAAAAAAAAAAATCTGAAGAAACTAAAAAACTTTAAAAAAATTTATTTAAAATCAAGTGTATAATCTCCAAAAATTCGGCTGCGTTTTCATTTGAAAATAAATAAAGTTAATATCAAATCGTTTTTTTATGATATTTTAAACTAAATATTCAAAATATACCCAACAAAATAATGCAAATGATCATATTTTTTTTAAATTCGAAACAACAACAACAAAAAGCTATTAAATACAATTTAATCAAATTTTCAAATAAAATAAACGTAGGGTTTAGCATAATCTACGGAAAAAAGTGCGGATAGGGGTTTTGCAGATTTGTTGCCTGGCTTTGGTAGAAATGATGGTTGATGTAAATATATAAATCTATAAAATAGATATCCTAAAAATTTCACACTGAAAACACTGACAGGCACAGAAAAAAATAAACAAAAAAATTTGTGATTATGCGTATTATTTTTTTTTGAGCACTAGGCAGAGATGATTAACAAAAAAATACATAGCTTAGCACACAGTTTTCACTTGAAGAAAATGTTATTATGAAATACACTGGCAAAAAAAGTTTAAAAAATTGTAGTTTTATTTTTTTTTCGCACTGGAACCGATAAAGGGGTGTATGGGTTCAGAGAGAGAGACATCAAGATGGTTATGGTTTTGTGTCTTATTTATCGTCGATTTTTGATCCATTCAAAAAAAAAAACATCACATTAAAAAAAAGAGAAAAAAACAATGGGGGTTCATGAGAGGGGGTTTGAGGGTTCATTTTATATAGGGGTTGTTGTGTGACTTTTGGCAGCACCCCGTTATCGTTTCGGTTGAGTGCGCGCATACTTACCATGCGCCTTTCACTTCTTTCTAATCACTTTCACAGTGTCTCTCTCTGTGTCTCTGTCTGTCACACAGCCGTCCGCCTCTCTCTGTCTCTTGTGCCTGGGTACTGTAACTGTAACGGGAAATCTGCACTCGCGCTCTCGTTCGTACTCGCTCGCACGCACGCGTGGTAGATGGGGGATGGTGATATCCTGCCAACACTCACTCGCCATCTCATTCGCTCGGTCCCACACACACTCACACAAGGCAGATTAGCAAGATCAAAAATAAAAAAGAAAAACAAAAAAAAAGTGGAAGGAATGTGGGAGAAAAACTTCCCGCTGTTGAATATATGGCATCCAGGTGTATTTTCCAACACTTCGTTTTTTTCAAATTTGCTTGAACTTGAAAAAAAATAAAAAAAATTTGCGGTTTTGGTTTTTGTTTTTATGTTTGTTTTGCTTTTCGCCTTTTTATTATATTCTGTTTCTCTGGTCACACTTTCGGGTTTTTGTTTTATATGCTGGATTTTTGTTTTGAATGCTTTTAACGCACTACAAACTAAATAATTATTAAAATTTAACGCTATTTTATAGAATAGGTTTCATATAGTGAAATATATATGTATATTATAAGTATATCTAAATAGGGATTCTTTTTGTTAATTTTTCATCTTTTCGTTTTTGTCGATATATGGATAAAAACTTGATGATAGAGAGAAGTTGAAAAACAGAAATAATTGCGTTTCTTGATTTTTCCCTTGTTGTTTTTTTTTTGCAGTGGTTTTTTGTAGTTGTTGTCGCTGGTAAAGATGGGTAAATTATAACCAAAAAAAAAGAAGTGGCGTGATTCGATTTCGATATTCGTGATGCGATCTGAAGATGCTGAAGAGGTGGGTGGAGCTAAAGGGGTTACAGGTTTTATGCTCGGCAACGCTTTGTAATTTTTACTCCTTTAGGTTTGTATTTTATATAGTAATTTGTTAATTTTCGTTTATAATTCAGTTCTGATTGCTTGGTTGCAACATTTATTTCATCATCAGTTGTTTCGCACCAGTCTTTTGTGAACAGGAAAAAAATTAGCAAAAAAAAAACCTTCAGGAACCAAAAAAAAAAATTGCACACTCTTCTCTTCGTTGAAGTGGGGTTTTCCTTTGCAGATATATATAATTTTTTAGTGATTTATGCTTTCTTTAATTAGGTATCGATTCAGTCCTTGGTTGTTTTATCTCTTTGTTGTTAATATATATATATTTCTAGTTATGTGCTTTTCGGTGTATTATTTTTATCAAAAAAAATTGCAGCTTTACGTTTTCTCATTGTGCTGTGATTTTATCCTAAAAATCATCTGTTTCCGGAAAAAAAATTGTTCCATTTCGGAACACACACACTATAAAAAATTGTCAAAAAAATTGGTCTTTAGGCCAACACTTTTACGCGAACTTTTTTTTCAAGTGCTAGTTTACCGTTTTGCCTGTATGTGTGTGTGTGTGTTGTGGGTTGATGTGTGTGTTCTGTTGTCGTAGTTGTGAAATAAAAGTTTAAGATTTAAGCCTAAACAAAAAACGTTGATAACTTCCGTTTTTCTTTTAAATGTTATGTTAGTATCTAAAAATTACGATTTTTTTGGGCTTTTCAAAATTATTAGTTTTTTTGTATTTTTTTTTGTAAGGGTTTTTGTATTAATTTTTAATTACACTAAATAATAAAAGGTATAACTCAATTTTTGCATTGTTTCCAAATATAATTCATATATATTATTATAATATATATGCATGTTTAAATTGCAATCAATTGAATCGTTTACGAATAATTACCAAGTTTAAAGCAAAAATAAAACTAAGAATGCATTTATATTGTTGTTGTTGTTGTTGGTTGTTAGTGGTTTGTTTGTTGTTTGTAGGTTGGATTGGTTTTTGTAGCCTGCTGTTTTGTTGTTGTTGTTTGTCAAATACCAAAAAAAAAACCAAAATGAATCAAGGGGTTAAGATGTATAACACTCTCAAGACATATATAATGTGAGATATATATGTATACTATATACCCAGCAGATCGCTCTTGATTTTATATATATATATATAGCTCTGTGTGTGGCTTGTGTGTTTCATCTTGTGTTCGTTTTCTGGATTTTTGTGTATTTCAGATAAACTTTTTGGCATCGAAATAGGGATGCGAGTTTTGGAAGCGTTGCTGTGATTTTATTGATCTACCTCTGTGCACCATATTGTTGAATCCGGCGGCCATATGTGGTGGCGGTGGTGGCGGCGGCGGTGGGACATTTGGCGCAGCCACGCCCATCTGGGACATAAAGTGAGCCGCCTTGGCCTTGCCGTGCTCCTCGGCCAGCCGGACGGACAGCGGCTGCGATCCGCCCTCGGGTATTACGTTGTTCAGCGCCGATATGGCCTCCTGGGCCTCCTCGCGCTTGTTGTACCTATATGGTTTGATTTATCGATCGAAAGTACACCCCATAGATGGCAAATGAGCGATGTTCAAAAGAAAAATGAGAGAAAAGAAAGGAAAACACTTGATGAGCCGGGTGTCAACATAAAATGGGATCAAATAAAACTTGGCCAAGAGGATACACCACCACTCAAATGTTCTGCAAGTCGAATTGTTCTCCATACAATGTTAAATGATAATGAAAATATTTAATAAAATCCATTGGTAATCCAATTTTCGTTAAAGTTACAGAACATTCGACTCAGAGAACCTCGATGAAGTGCAGCATGTGACCCAACCTCTGGCATTTCGATTTCCCCTTCTTAAATACAATAAACTATATTAAGGACTTACCGAACAAAGGCCACACCACGTGGACGACCCGTGAGCTTGTCACGCAAGATGTTCTTCTGCACAATGGAACCGTACTTGCCGAAGATAGTGTCCAGCTGATCATCGGTAATGGTGCGCGGCAGATTGGTCACATACAGATTGGTGTCCTTGATCGATTCCCCGCCGGGACGGGCATAGGAAACCTGTTGGCAAATAATATTTCGAATTAGTTATCTTGTCATCTTTGACTGGAGTGATTTCTTTTAAAAGATACCAACCTTGAGCCGCTTGTTGCGCACTGTGATGCCATTCAGTACTTTAATCGCACGCTGCGAGTCCATTTCCGATGTGAAGTCCACGAAAGCATAACCAAAACTGTAGCCAGTCTGTGGGGGACATGGAAAACAGGAGTAGTTATGGTTATATTTTATGGAACCAGGTTATTTTTAAGGTTTGGATCTTAATAGTCCCTCCACACTCACCTTATAGTCTCTCATGATTCTGCACGTGTTGATGGGTCCAATGGCTCTGAATAGGGCGTACAGCTCGCGGTCGGTCATGTCCTGGGGCAAGTAGTTGACAATCAGGTTGGTGTTGCTCGCCCGGGGATCGTTCATGAGATCGTCGCTACCGCCGCTGCCCAGCGACAGGCCGCACAGGTTGTTCAGCGAATTGTTGCTGGCCATCGGCGGCAGGTGGCACATGTTGCCGCCGCCAAGATTGTTGGCGCTACCCCCATTCCCGCCGCTGCCGCCGCAGCCGGGGAAATCATTGTAACCGCGACGCGACGAGGAACTTGGAAATGAAAATTCTGTATCCTGTGGCGAGAACGCATAACGTGACTGTAATCAGATTAACCATACAAAGATATTCTAGTGTTGTGAGAAGGCCTCATATCGCTTGTCTTGGGGTTGATTATTAGTAGACTGATTGGATGGTGGATCGGTTCGGTTTGGCTGGCTGCTTGGTTGTATTATTTCTCGAGATCGATATATCTATCGATATACATATTACATATATATATCGATCGTTGCTTTCGGTCAGCAACAACAACACACAACTTGGTTAGTGGATGAGGTGACGAAGTTTGGTTTAATACGTAGATATCTACGATAAAACTCTAACGGTAACAATATTCCAAATGCAAATTTCCGGGAAAAATCTTTATTTCTTGAATTCTATTTTGTGGTTATTTTTAAGGGCGTGCTTGAAACTCGAGTGCTGCGATTGGTATTGTATTTTGATTTTGATTTAAGCATTAAATCGAAACATTCTCTTGCTTCACTGTACTTCCGTGTATGTATTTGTCTGTGTGAGCTAAACGGCATTCACTGGGTTGCAAAAACCAAAGACAAAAAAACGTGGAATTTCAAGAAATGCATAAAATGTTTCTTCCCTTCTTTAGTTTTCTTAAGCCTCTTTAGTGTCTTGTGTTAGGTATTTTTTCTTTAGTTTCTTTTTGAGGGTGTTTTTGGTGTGGGTCTCGGTGTCATTGAGAAAAGGGAAATACAGTGCTTGGCAAAAATATAATGTCAATGACAAGGTGACAAAAAAATCAATTCGGCTTGGAATTTAAAAAGTATTCTTTTCAATTAAAGGAAAAATGCTTTGGATTTTTTTGTACACTTTTATTATATGGTTAGGTGATAAAAATGAAGATGATTGTTTATGAAAATTAAAGTTAAGCGATTATTTCTCTTGAGAACATAAAAATTATTTAAATTCAGTGTTTTCAATTAGTTTTACATTATCTAAGGGCTTGACTTGAGGTGTATTTATTTTTTTGTCAGGTACTGTGAAACAAAAGTGCGCAAAGCGCCAAACGGAAGCCAAAGCTGAGGCGGAAACGGAAATGGAAACGGAAATAGGACGGACAAGGTGGCAGGGTGGTACCGAAAAGGTTTTCTATTATAGATTGTCTTTGCTTTTCATGGCTCATGCATGTGTGTTTGAGTATTTTGGTTTGGCATTTGTATTTATGTGTGTTTCATTGTTTGAAAACTTTTCTATTTAAGGGTTTTGTATATTTAAAAAGTTGTTTGTTTGTGTTGTTGTTGCTGGTTAGTTTTTGTTTGGTTTATGTTTATTTTGTTTTTGTTTCTGTTTCTGTTTGTTTAGGCTTTGTTGTTTAAATTGCAAACTTTAAGTTGTTGATTTTCATCATTATCAATAAACCAAAATGAAATTGTTCAGCATCCAGAAAATAATTCAGTTAAGTTTTTAGTATTTGTTTAGTTTTTTGTTTTTTTTTCAAAAGCGTGTGTCCCCAGAGCGTTCATGAGACAAACTCAATAACATACAACTATGAATAGTAAAAGGCATAAAATTTATATTATTATTATTGTTATGAGTATTAAAAAAGAAAAACGAAACCGAACAAAACAAAATACAAAAGTCAGTCAATATCAAATGCATTGCCTTTAATTTGAGTTCAAATTTTAAGTTTTTTTCATTGGCCTCTGATTGATTGCTTTCATGCAATTGAAAATGGAAATTTGTCGCTAACAATAATTATAAATTTCAGGCGTAATAATGAGTATAGAAAAGTGATGTATACTAACCATTCCGGATGGCAGAGAATGGGACATGCCAAATCCACGCCCACCGCTATAGGATGATGGGATACCATTTCGTTGGGGAAAGAGAAAATATCGATTAGCACTCGGGGAAATGATGATGTTGTTGGTTTTTTTTGGTTCAAGTAAAATACTATTTAAAATTATCAAAATTATATGTATAAAGCGCAATTTACTATATATTTTTTTTTAGCTATTTTGTAATTATCTTAAAAATGATTAAGAAATGTTTTGCGTTGGATGATTTTACGATTCTTTTCTTACCACTAACTTAGGCTTACGGCTAACTTGATCTGAAAAAGTGCCAAGGAGTACAGTCAACTGCCTCGCTAGCAAATTCTCATCAGACTTAGACTTAATTTGAAAGAGAAAACCACTAATGGTTCTAGAGATAGTAGACTGAGAAGACTGAATTCAAAGATTTTGCAGTTTCTTGGGGAATATAACACAGCTGACCAAATGGAAGATCCCTCTGTTATATTCACCCGCGAATCCTGCAAAGCCCCAATTGCCATTAGAGTGAAAACATTGGATTTTCACTTTAATTATTGGCACTACAGAATAAAGCATGATGTATTTTTTTTGTGGTACTTTCGATTCACCGAAAAAAAAGAAAAAAAATAATCATGGGACTATGCTAGTAACCCATTATTCATTATATTCCAATATCGGACACTTTTATTGGTTAGAGCACATTTTCACTTTAAAAAAATCAAAAAAATAATCACTTTTAGCACTTTTTTAATCACATAAACAAAAAAGTATTATGGGTTTTGGATATTTTCGGACACCGCCATTTTTTCTTCCCACGTCGAATTTTAGTTGCAGATCGATTGTACTTCGTATTTAGGTCTAAGTTAGGGCTTATATTGATTTGTATAGTATTTCCCCAATATTTCATTATGTTATTATTATAATTTGTTTTCGCTTTTCGCTATAGTCTTAGATTCTTGTTACTTACAGGGCGTTGGAGGCGTCCTCGATTCAAAAACATTTCGTTTCGTTGGCGAGGAGACCATGGGGGGCGGAGCAGGCGCGTTTGCCCCCCCGTGCAAATTAAATCTACATACTATCTAAAGAGTCAGTGAGTGTCTTTCGCTTTTCGATGATAATGGTGGCTGCTTCTTTCTGGGCTGTGGAAAAAAATGTCTACACACGATTAAATTCAGCTGCGGTACAACGTCGATGATGGGCGTTACATAATTTTTGCTGGAAGGGAGTTTTGGTTCTTTTATATGATTTGGTGTTTTGGAGTGTGTGAGTGTGTATGGGCAGGATTTCAATATTGCACGATTCGTACGAAAAAAGGGAGACTAAAAATCTCAATTATTCGCTAGCAAGGTCACACTAATGTTGTGATTCGTTTTTATTTTGCACAATAAAAAAATATGCAAAAAAAAGGTGAGATTAGAGAATCTCAATTACTCGTTGGTAAAGTCACATTGCTTTATAGTTTTTCGCTTTCGTTTTGCACAGTAAAAAAACAGACAAAAAAAATAGTGTCACTAAAAAATCTCAAATATGCGTTAGCAGGGTCACTCTGCGCTGGTGTTGATTGTTGACATTGTTGATTGATGCGATGCTGCTGCTCTGCTTGCGGTTTGATGTTGTTGTATTTGTAGTTGCTGGGCTTTTGATGACCTTGGGGGCAAATGTTGAATTTGCATTTTGCCGTTTGGCTTTTATTCATTTTTGCTGCTACTCTCGCAGGAGGATGAGAGATAGCCAGCACAAGGATTCAGAGAGTGAGAGAGTGGGGGGTAAAGGCAATTTGTCGGCTATATGCATTGGGTTGTGTCGGGTGTTGGGGGTGAGAGTGAGATGGCGACGCAATAACCACAACAACAACCTGTGCTTAAGGCTAGTTATAAACTGTAAAATCTCCCAGCACATGCGTGGGAAAGGGACAACCATACGTATATAACTTAAGGCTACTGCATGTCAAGGTCCTGACACAATTTCCACCCAGCACGTGATGCACTAAATTCGGAGAAGGGGCCCTCTGTGGTTGCTCTGTTTACATTTCATCGACTGCTGAATAATGTGCCATAAATTATACGACCCAAAAAAAAGGAGAATAAGAAACAGCACATAAAAATGCCACGAACGACGCTGCTGCTGCTTTTTCCCCATTTATTTTATGCCCTAGGATGATCATTATAAAAATCAGACCACTGCTTGACCCCGCTTTTCTCTTATTTTTTTGGCAGCAAAAAACAGTCAATTTGTCATTTCTTAGGCGAAACTTAAAGCTTACGTTCTACTGAAGATCTGACGATGGAAGATATATGGACAATGCGAGGCGAGAAAAGAAAAACTGACTAAAAAAAACTCAACTCAAAGCAATTAAGGCAAAATAAATAGTTTTTTAGTACAGTTACGCCAAGCAGTAAGTGTGGAACAGAGACAAAAGAAAGATAAAAAGAGAGAGAGGTAGTTTCAAGAACATTTACCGGTACATTGTGAGACTGTTTAGGTTGCACAATCCGCACGATGAGAACGTTTTTAGGCCGTTTCTATAATCCTCTTGCCACAAACGAATTGCACAGATACAGATACATGTATCTGCCTTGTTCTACGCGTATATATATATGAGAGATATATCGAGTTCCAATTCCCAACGGAATCAGAACTTTTCTTGTGGCCCAGACATGGCGCGCTCGCTCTTTGTAAATGCAATTCGATCTTGTAAATGGTTTATGTGTATATATATTAATATATAAATATGGAAGATTGCGTTACTTTACGTTGTTTCACGTTGCTCGGTTAACATTGTTTGCATATTGCTTATCTTTTATCACATACAACTGGAAATATAGGACAAAAATAAAGCATGTCGCGATTACGAAAACACGCAGACGGCGATCAATTGATTTTATGTGAGCTGTGTGCGAGTGTAGGATAAATGCGAGCGCATGAATGTATGCTATGAAAAATGTCACAACGCAAATGTAATAACTAGATCGAACGATATATATGGTAAATACAGCTAATGATGGGGTTCCTATGCAATGAAAAAATTAATATATTTTTATAGGGTTTAGCTATGAAAAAATTAACATCTTCTAAGGTGGAAAAAACAATGAAATTACAATTGGGAGCGGAGCTTTTTGGGGTTGGGCTGTTCTTATAAGGGGTTCCCCCAAAAACGATTGACTGTTTTTTGCTGCTCTGGCTTGCTATCTATGTGTACTTGTGTTCGTTTGTGTTTATAGCCTCTGCATCTAATCGATTATTGGTTTTTTTTTACCATTGTTTGCACCATCTAGTACATGTAACATTTAATTATACTTATATGAATCCTTCTTGTTGTTGTTGCGGTCATTGTTATCCATTCCTGTGGCTGTGTAATCGTTGTTTTTTTTTCTCTGATAATATCAGAACACAAAAGTAAAACAAAGAAACAAGTGAACTAAAAACTAAACAATATGTGGGTGTGTGAATATGAAATGAATAAGGGGGGTAGAAACACTAGATATATGATATCTTTTTGTGCCAGCTCGACATCGACAGCAACTCGATAAGAATCTCAAGATCTTATCGACCAGCAATCGACATCCTTCCCTGCACACATACCAATGCATATGCCGCCAAGTTTTGCTAAGAGATTTTGAACAAGCAAAAAAATGTAACTTTCATAACTAAATACACCTAAATCTAAACCAAAAATATAACATTGGCTGCAAATGATTTTCCAGCAAGAGGAAATTTTCTTCTTCGTATAAACTATTCAAAAAAAGGTTGGGTTGGTCTTTTGTTCGTTCGCCAAAGAGAGATCTGGGTAGCAAAAAAATTAGGTAAACACTGGTATCATCTTTATGTTTGGTGTGTTATGTGTGGGGAGCTTTTATGGGTGGAAAGGAAGGGATTTCGGAAGGGATACTACAGTCGAAATTCTCTAGCTTGAAATGGATTTATTTATCAGAAGGAAGAATAAACAGTATGTGAATAAACATTATTTACTTTAGTTAGCTAGTATTTCTCAGGAACTTTAAGTACTCTACTCATTTTTGCACCTAGAGAAGTTCGACTGAATGTTTGAGTTTGATATTCAAATGAGGCTCAAGATCAAACACAAAAGATATGGAACGAATATGGCTGACGGAACGTAAGAACTCAAGTATAAGAATTTACCTCGACTTGTTGTTGTAGCCATATGGGGGATAACCGCCGTTATTATTGTTACTACCCGGATTATTGTTGCCGTACATATCCTGAGAGTTGCGAGTGTGTGTTTTTCGAATCAACAAAAGTTACACCCTCGATCGAAGGTGAGTTTTGGTCGTGGGGGAAAGGATAATGGTGATGAGGTGAGTTGAGAAATAAGATCGACTTCGATCCTTTCCTCGATTCGTTTTTTTTTTCTGGCGCTCAGCGCTCTCAGCTGGCCTGCTGCTGGTGTTGTTGTTGTTTTTCTGCTGCTTTCTCCAACTTTCTTCTGTATTGCTCTTCTTGTGTTGTACTTATATTGCTGTTGCTCTTTCTTTCTTTCTATTTTTACATGCACACACACTGTGCTTTCTTCTCTTAATTTCTATGGTTTTTCTCTGAGTGTGTGCTTGTTGATGTTGTTGTAGGCGCGTTGTTGTAGTTGTTGTAGTAATTGAAGAGATGATAGAGTTGTTGTTGGTACTAAGAGTTGATTGATTCGATTTAGTTTCGGTTTAATTAAATTTCCCTTAATTTTGAGTGGGGATAGGGGAGGAGGATGGTGGTTCTACATTTATACGAAGGACAAAAAACATGACAAAGACGTGAATTGTGTGCGACGCGATTAAACGAACGAAATATAATGGAAAACCCATTAACATAAAAAAGAGAAGAGCTGAGTTTATGTGTGTGTTTGTGTGAGTGTTTAAAGCCAGTGTTTTTAAGCATAACAAAATCATAATCCTTCTCATTAAATGTCCTATAATTTTTTGGTAAGAAATCCTGTTTTGTTTAATACAACCAAAATGTCAATAATTTTATAAGCTTATTTTAAATCAGAATAAAAATACCCATGCTTAACAATAAACTTAAAAATACACTTTGCATACAGTCGCTGTCAGCAAGAAATTAACCAGGGTTGCCATCCCTTAATACGAAGCAAACTTTTTCTTAAAAAAAACTTAAGTAAATAGGCTGCGCATTTATACAATAATTCGACTAGCAATCCAACTGATAATATAATATCCGACATACCTGGCCATCTTAAAGTTATAGTAGGACGACATGGTCGAACAGGGAGTCACAGTATCGAAATTGAAATCCATCATGGAATAATCACAAAGTTACGTTTTTTAGCAAATTGAATGTAAGACACACAAGAAATCACAAGATCTCAGGGCACAAGTTGAACTTGTCACGAGTGGAACTCGACTGAAGAGGTCCTGCCGGCTATCGATCTATTTAAGGGTCGGAGGAGGGGTTCCGAAATATTGGGCGGTGTGTGGGTGGCAGGTAGGAAAGCGAAGGAGGCAAGGTGCGCGTGCCAGTCGCGTGGGCTACCTAAGATCACACGGATTGATCCGGCGAGGAAGTGTGCCAGGCGTACTTTCTTGGGTGGCCGGCTGCATCTCGCGGATCCCCGAATTTTGAGTCCCGAATCCCAGATCGCGGATCTCTGCAGGCAGGCAGATGTGCCGTGTTCTCGGAAGCTGGATGCTGGCAAGGTGCTAACTTTTTTTTTGGGCCGGGTGGGTGGAAAACGCCGAAAGGTGGAACGTGGCAAGCTGCAAATTAATTACTTGGAAGCAAGCTGCAATTTTTTCGGGACCCGACTTAAGTTTCTCTGAACATCTCCTAGGACTTGTAATACCAGTATCTTAAGTTTATGACATTCATTTCCATGTATCATTAACATTCGACCCAAACTTTATCAACCAAAATGTGATTATCCTTAATTTTTTGACAGGAATTTTAGAAATATCCGAAAAATATTAATATGTGATCAAGATTTAATCCAAGTTTTATCAGACAAAACGTTATTATTCGGACAACAGAATATTAACTAAAGATTATTTTAATATCCTACCCTATGCGAACTATTCAACTTTTTGAACATATCACTTTACATAGTAGATTTATACCTGTATAAACTATTATAATTTATAATTATAATTTATATAATATATATAATTTTATATATAATTTTAATTCCTTACAAAATAAAATCCTATTTATTGTCATTATCGTGTAAAATATAAGTTTCTCTAATTTAAATTCTTTACAAAATAAAATCCCTATCAAGCATAATTAATTTAAATTGTTCAATCCTGTGCAAAAGTCGTATCCCTATTTACTCTTAATCCACATAAACATAATCTTCACCATAAATAACCAATTACGGATTATATTTCCTTGCAGCCAATTGCAGCTGCCTTTTGCTCGGATTTCGGAAAGGGGCAGGTGAAAATGCAAATTTACCTCTCGCTTATAAAAACGCCGGGTGGAAAAAATCTCGCAGCCCAAATTACAAAATACCAAGAACACAGTCCGCAGGAAAATTCTTTGCAATTGTTCAACAGAAACTTTAAGTCCATCAAGATGTGCAGTTCACTTGATCGAGAGCTAAGGTATAGCGTACGTTTCTCATAAAGAGAAAGTTTATTTATTTAATAAAAAGGATGCAAATTCAGTAAAGTTTAAATAAACACAATTAGTGAATATTTGAATCAAGGAACAGGTAAAAAAAATTATTAAGATTAACTATCAAATATTGGTTTATACCTTTAAAAACGTGCAAATAGCTTTAATATAGTGAAATATTTTTATACTTTGAAGTATTGATATCTAAGGGTCGATGAAGTTTCTTTCACTGATAAAAATATCAATAACTAGATTGAACTAATTAATTTTTTTCAGTTAAAAATAACAAATTTAAACAGCCTAATGATTTTCGAGGCTATATGTACTTTCGAAAGATACTTAATCTTCAGAATATAACAAAAACTTCCTGAAGCCATACATTTCGAAAGATACTGAATCGTTAGATTCTAGCAAAAAAACATCTTAAAGCTATACATTTTTCATTCAAACAAGATGATGCTGTATTAAATATCAAAGTTCATTATCGAATAGCTCTACCAACGTCCTTAAACCTCCAACAATACACATTGAAACATTTCCAATGAGCTTAAGCAATGATTTCCAGGAACAGGAAGGGAATCCCTAGGATATTATACATATGTATGTACATCATCCTCTTTGGGATCCCCCGGCCAAAAAGGAGAAATAAACTTTTCCCATTTTCAAGGAAGCGCAGAAGGAATCCAAACTTATGACAAACAGAGAACGAGGAAAATTGGAAAATGCGGAGCTGAGAGAAAGAGAGGAGAGCAAAAGAGGAGCCAGAAAACGAGGGCAGCAATATGAGGCGCAAAAGGGGGCGGTGGAAAAGTGGGGCGGGGCGGCCTAAATCGCTTTGGGTCGCTCAGAAACACAAAAACCAGAAGAAAAGCGGGGTGGAATGGGGTGGTACGGTCACCAAATCGAGGGCTGCTTTTTCCCCATGTACAATAACACAGCAGATTGCCGAAAAAAAAAGAAAAACAGAAATCCAGGGAAGGAAATATATACTGAAATATATATAAACAGAGTGTGTACCTCGCCTTCCAGCGTGAAAATCCATAGAACGCAAAGGAAAATGCGGAAGTACAGAAACGAAAAGTGAATTCGGGAAAGATGAAAAGTAGGGGGAGTGGGATGTATTGAACAAAAGGGTAACCTGAAGGTCGGTGGTCTCTCCAAAACGAAAAAAGAACCCAGAAATGTAAGGAAAAGCCAACCAAGAAAGAGTAGCAAAAGTTGCCTCGACTTTCCATATGCAGATGGGTGAAAGCTAAATCATTGAGAAATCAAAAACCCAAAAAAATTAGAAAGTCTATAGCAAGCACAAGACTCTTAGGGAAAATTGACCATATAAAATAATGACGATATCTAGGAAAAGATCATATTTATCTTTTGTTTAACACTAACTCAATTTAAAAACCATTTTGGTATTTTTTGCATTATTTTATAAGCAAGTTTGAGATCTTCTATAACAATGTAAACATTTTTGTAAAATGTGTAAAATTGTCAAATGGAGCAACTAATTAAATACTGAAATTAATCCGCGGCATATAAACACCCTATACAATTTTAAATAAACGTTAATTCAACGGAAAAAAAAGGTCAGCCTTTTATTGATTGAAATGAATACAGCATTGACATCATTTAGCAGACATTTTTCTACAGTGTACTAGTAAATTGTGGAGCAATAACAAAAAGGCAGAAAAACTTTACAGTTTGATAACAGTAGTCGGCTAATTTGGAGCACAGTTGTGTAAATAGAGCAGCACTATTGTGTGCGTGTGTGCGAGAAACAGCTGATAAAAGCCCATATATGCATAAATATATATATATCCAAAGTTATATATATCTCTCTTTCTAACTGTCAGCTGGGCGAGTGAGTCATGCACCCGTATGTATGAATGGATCTGTCTGGAAAACAAAATCACAACAGCATTGCCAGACGCAAACAGCGATCCATCGAACATTCCAGCTGATCGCGAGCGCGCATTGTTGTTGCTGCTGTTGCTGCTATTTCAAGTGTTTCCAGTATCCAAAACATTGAGCGAGCTTAACCAGTACAGTGGGCACTCGCAATCGAAGTCTTGGAAAATTAAATATTTTCGATAAATTATTTTTCAATATAAAAAAAAATTGAATTCTTTTTACTTATAAATTTACTTATATTTACCAAAAAAAAATATGTAAAAATACTTTCCAAATCATTGACAATTTGCTAATTTTTTTAAGCAACAATTGCAACTACCTTTATTATCTGAACAATTTATGTTAACCAAGTACGAGATATATGTATGTATCTTATAATGGTATAATTTGTTAATTTACAAACGTAAACCACTGTAGAGCGGTTTTTAGTGATTGCTGACCAAATAAGGTACAACGATCATGGGGAAATATGTAACTTGTAATTTGCGCCAGGGAATGACCTCAGTGGAATGCGAAAAGGTAGAGGGAGAGAGTAGGGGGCGGAGGGGGTACTTGCTACCACCATTCCAATATTCCAATACTTTTTCCCAAACGATCGTTGCGATGTCATTGCCAACAGCAAGAAGGGGAATGACCCGCGGAGTTGGAGAAAAGAGGGCGAACGAGGAGCAAACGAGCAGAGGCGGAGAGGAGAGGAGAGAAATGCAGCTGCCCCTCCCCTTCCAGCCAGCTGCCTCTTCCCCTACCGGCCAGCTGCAACTTGGAAAACAAAAAACACGGCAGCTGAGCGTGCGAAAGAGAGGGAAATCTTAGAGCAATCGAACTTCCTACCTGCCTGGAAAACCGCTGATCCCTTTTCTTCAATGGAAGCGGGAAGGCCATAAATCGAAAAGGCGCGTGTCGTTAATGATGATCGCCTAAATTACAGGTCGTCTTCTAAAGCTATATAAACACTGATCGAAGAAATGGCAATTATTTTAATTGCAAATGCATCGCGGAACACCCAAATATGGCATATCTTATCCAAATGTAACGCAAAACACGGAAAAACAACAAAACACGTTGCCTTCAACGATAACAGCTGGCAATGCCGTCGCAACAGTCAACTGCCGAAAAATAGTTCCAAATATAAGTCTATAAATTATAAGTCCTTTTAAAATAATTAAGCACTTGATATATTTATATTCCTTATAGTTTATAATGCTATGAAACTTTGGACATTTGCATATGATTTTGCTTAATTACTCTTTCAAAAACATTTTAAGTAATAACAAATATTAGGGGTTCGCGATTTTATTCCTAAATGGCTTTGTAAAATGATATTTTTTCATACATACTATGTTACATTTTTTAGATATAGTAAAAACAAGTATTGTTTTCTTAGAATGGTTTTATTACTTCATAGACTTACGGCGTAGATCTTTTGAAGACTATTCGCAACTACGTCTGAACATATTCTCCCAGGACAATTCAAAAACTCCACCTAATGCGCAGCCAAAAACACATGGTATGATATATTGATAAACAGGAAGTACATATGTACTTAGGTATGTATACAGGATATGCATACACTTAGGTAGTCAAAGTGCAGCGGAACTAAAGTGGAAACAGGGGACACAATAAAAACCCAGGTAAAGCGAACCTATATTTCAGACATTTCTTGCTGGTCGCGACTGTATGCATGTGTTTTTGTTGTCTGTTTCTTATATTTTTCGTTATTTCTTCCGCTTCTTTGCCCAAAAAGTACAAAACACTTACCCATTTATCATTATTTAGTTAGAGACTAGAGGCTAAACAATGGAATTAAACACTCACACAAACAGCCACTCCCCTATGTTTTTGTTAAGTATTTTTACCACTTACTGCTTTTATGTATATATGTGAAACTTGGGCGATGTTTGAATGTTGCCTATGTACTACGCAACTGTAACGGAACCAAAAAAAAAAAACAAAGTGTAAGCCAAGCGCATGAATCGGCGTGTGTGTGTACGTTTGTATGTCGGGTATATACATACACGCACGCTCTCTCACGTAGGCACACACGCACACACGTACATGCGAATGACGAAGCCGCAAACACAGGAAAAAAAATAGTACATAAGTAACAACAACAGCAACGAGTGGATGAGAGAGAGCGAAAACGGCTTTGTTGTTGCTGCTGCTGCTGCTGCTAGTGGTGGGAAATGCTGAATGGAATTTTTACATGTTTTTCGGCTCGTTACTCTTTTTTGCACTCTACCTTCAGCTCAATAACTTGAAAAAAATATATATACAGCAAAAAAAATAAAGAAAAACAGCGAGTTTCTCCTTCTTACTCGCCCTAGTAAAATGTTTGCAAGTATGCGTGCAAAACCAAAACCAAAAAAAAAAAACATGTATAACTTGAAAAAAGAACAGAAAAAACTCCAGAAAACAATGCGTTTTTGGATACTATACTAGATAATAATTGCAAAATGATTTTTCACAATGTCTGCGTGTTTTCCACTATCATTTGGCTTTTCTCTTCATCGTTTGTTCAGTCCGCTTTGTTATATACACTTCACGTCACGCTAGAAACCCTGTATGTATATATGTATACATGATGTGCTGTCGCTGTGTGTATTGTTTTTTCGTCGGGGGTTTTCTCTTATTTTGTTAACTACGCACACGATTGGGCACACAAAACTGGGTCTTTGTCGTGTTTTTCAGCAGTTTTAGTTTTTCACTAACTGGGGTTTGGATTTACGTGGCGAGGTGGCGAGTGCCAGAAAGAAAAATTACCAGAAAAAAATTCACTGCGCGAACTGACTTTCCTCTCGGCAACAACAAAAAAGCAGTGTGCCTTGGGGATGTGGAAGATACATGAAAATATCAATATATCGATATACTCACCTAAAATATTCGATATTTTTTCACCTGATATATATCGATATATTTTTGATGCTGGACCCCTGAAAACTAAAAACACGAAAAAATACTGACCGTATTTTTATTTTCTACATTTCGCTGCGGTTGGCGGGACTTTGGTTCTAAAATTTTATATCACTACATTTGTATTTTTGTGATTTTAAGGCACTTTGCATGCTTGCCTGCCATGCAGCTTCGAGTGTCACAAATGTATAAAACTATACTTTTCAGGACCAAAGATCCCTTGTTAGTAATTTAGGTCTTTGAGACACAGACGAGTTTAATATTTTCAAATTGAAGTACTAAAACTCCCTTTTTTTCCTTATAAAAATAATAACCAAAAATTAATTCAACTAAAAATATCAAAACTACTCGATATATCGATATTTTTTGGGTGATAAATATTTTATCCATTTTATATTATAAAAAATATGATATACCATCGATATTTTTCATATGCAATTTTTTGTTTCCACTGTTAGAGGTGGAGAAACATCGATGTTTTTAAATTTTTTAAAATCTATGTTTCTTGGCGAGTATGGATGTTCTTGATACAAATATTTGTACTGTATATAAAAACTAGGTTACAAAATTACAACTGGATCTTAAAATATACATAATTTATTGACAATTAATTATGGTAGAGAAGTTCATTCAAAGCAAACTCATTACAAAAAAAGTAACGTATAAAAACGTATTTTATTCCACAGGGAACTTTTTTCATAAAAATTAAAAAAATAAATTATATAAGGGATACCCAACAGAATCCCAAAAATGCCCATCATATGAAATATTCGGAAGAACTATGTATAAAAATAGAAGTAAGTATTATTATTGTTTGAGTATTTCAAAATATTAAACTTACATTTGCGTGTCAAAATTAAGGCAGGCCATTGGCGTATTTCCATTTTCTGAAAACTTCTTAATTTCTTTTTTTACTTTCCTTATATTGATGTTAGTCAGGAAAAATATGATCACATTGAAGAAAGTCAAGATTACATATAGCAGTATAACGAAAAGGTGTAACACAGCGACTTAAAAAAGAAATCAAAAACCAATCTGAACAATTAGACTATAAACTATATAACATTTTGAAGTGTGAATCTATAAACTATATAACATTTTGAAATGTAAATCTATAAATATATAATTTTGATATTACAATGATCTCCTTTTTTCGGAATATCTTCAAACTTACCCGTAAGCGACCAAGAGAAAATAAGAAGAAAAGAATAATGTCAATAAAATCATATATGTATTTGCAACAGACAAATAATTGTAAAACTAACTTTAAAGCTTAACAGAAGAAAATAACACTTGAACAATATACAATTATTTTAGGCTCCCCCTCAAAGATATAGACTCTTTGCTCTTTTTTTTTTTGGAAATAGACCATTTATTCAAGCATCCACGGAGTTCTATGGATATGCCTAGAATTCCGCGAGAGCAATATCCGCCGATCGCGAGCCAGGCCCCAAAATATCAAGCGTATATATAATCGCCACCATCTTCACTATCTGCGAACACACCGAGTAGTCCCTGAGCTAAGCGTTGAAACTGGCCACTGGGGCTGGACTCGCGGATCGGCTCCTTAATTTTAACTAGATCTGTATATGGTATATGGTATATTGTATATCTGTATAATCTGTATAAACATGTATAATGTAATGCAGGCTAGGCGGGCTTCTAATGTTCAAAAGGCGCGGGGTGGGCGTGGAAATTCAGGTTGTAAACTTTCGAATATTTGTACAATTTCACTTTCTTTGTGTCGTTCGCCTTTTGAGTACGGATTAAAGTCTTTTGAGAAACACATGGCCAAAACGGGAGCTGGTACATGGTCAATATATCTATGTACATATAGTAATATATAGCTAATAATATCAAGATAGATAGAGAGGGAGACATGAGCACTCGCACAATTTGAATCTTTGGCAAGACCGCAGATACTGATCACAAGAATCGTTTCGATTTAGTTAGTTCGTAATGCTAATGGCTACAACTATTCGTACTCGCTCGCAAAAAAAAATTTGGCTAATTGTGGAGCAGAGACTCGGGTACATCATGTTCATCATAGGAATACGTTATACACATCATGGCTGACAAAATCATCGAATCCCTGTCGTTAAGTACTCTAAGGTCTAAATTCGCTGAGTTTCCGTTCTCACGGATCGATGGCTCCCTCGCCATCGGGATACAAGTTCATCAGGATGGCATAGTAGTGACAGCCGGCGGCCAGCACCACAAAGAGATGCCAAATGGCATGGGCCATGGGTATCATGCCGTCCGCCTTGAAGAACACGATGCCCAGGATGTAGAAGGCACCGCCGAACTTCAGCTGCAGCATCCCGTGGAAGTGGTGGCCAGTGAAGACCACCACCAAGGCCGGTCCCAGGCCCATCACCAGGTAGAAGAACGTCTCCAGGCACTTGTAGCGCTCGTGGAAGAGCTGCAGTGGGAAAAAATATATAAATTAAAATGGATTCGGTACAAAATGGGGATACAATATAGCTCTATTATAGCACATTTCTACAACTCTCATTAAATATCTTTAAAAATTACAGAATCTGAGTCATATGTCTCATTTATACCTGCTGGTAGGCAATGCCTATGCCCGCCATCAGCCAGATGACCCACTCCATGCAGAAGAGTATGGCCGAGTGGTCGGTGTTCTCCAGCGTGAGCCAGGGGAAGTAGGAGCCGGCGATGAACACATAGATCATGGCCCTGTCGCACCGATGGAGCACGTTCTTCAGACCCTGGTACGTCTGCCAGCCAAGACAGGGCCAGGCCTTGACATTGTTCGGTGGTCTAAGGGGGGAAAACTGTAAGTGTATCGGTCAAAAGAAGGCCATTCAGTGCACTCACTTGTGCTCGGCACAGTAGCAGGAGCAGTGGAAGAAGGTCGACACCGTGAAGAGCATGCAGAGGGCACCGCCATAGACCCAGGAAACCAAATACTGGCTGGCACTGGATGAGCGTTTGAACAGCGTTATGGCCGCAAACACGGCGGGCAGTATCCAAATCCCGTGAGTAATCACATTGGCCACCTGCTCAATCTGTTTTGAACGATTGATGTGTGTGTTGTTAGAGAATGGGGTGTAAAAAAAACCAGGCCAGAACTCACTTCTGTTGGCTGGTAGGCACAGCCGGGCTTCGCCTTGGCATTCTTCCACTTGATATTGCGCAGCTGCAGCTTGAGTTTCGAATTCGACTTGATGATGGACTTCCAAAACTTGCTAAATAAATTCTCGAGGAAGGCGTACTTGTTCTGCAGGTCCTGCATAAGGGTGAGGGTTCCATCGCCCTCGCCTTTTCCATGTCCACTTCCATTCCGGATCCCACTGGCGTGGCCACTCCCTTCGCTGGTGCTCATCGTCGACAGACTGCGGATTAGATTGCAAATTGGTTGTCCGACTCGTAAAATTGATTGATTGCCGACTAACCCGGCTAACCTATCCACCCACGCTTCCCCATTTTATGGCCAATTGATTATCACCCCTTATCCCGATTTTGGTCTACACTGAGTGATAAGCACTTGACTCGGCAATGACTTCACAATGCAACTGGCCAGCCCCTTGAGAAATTCCTGCATTGAGCTTAATTTATGGTCATTTAGTTTTGCACAGACTACTTGCATACAATGGCCAGGGTTGCTGATTTTGACCCGATCCGCAATTGAAACCAGTTCTCTGATTGGCGAACGCTTATCTCGCGTGTCGGGAACACGGCTCAAAGTCCGAATCGGGTGAGATACGAATATGATTATGGGGTTCTCAAAATTCGTTTGCAGTTGCAGCCAAAATAGATCTTATTTTGGGAACTCGTTGTAGTCTAGTATATCGAACTCATATCTATTACCTATTTGAATAATTGCATTTTAAATGTAGACATGTACAAAGTATAAAGGTAGGCTGTTTCAAAACACAATTCAAAACCTTGATTTACGTAGGTATGCTGCTTAATAGCCAGAAAGATTGTATTATTATTTTATAATTACCAAAAAACCGTGGTTCTGGGTTTAATGGCGCGGAAATACTAGTTATACCACCGTTAATAATCCGTGAAACTCGCCTTATGATAGCATTTACGATAATGTTCTTGGAATATATAAAAATTTAACCACACTCAAGAAGACTTGAGACGTCTACTGGCTTGGTCCTCTCATTGAATTATGACAACTTTTCAATAAACGAGCGACGGTGGGTGGCGGTGGGTGACCCTGACCCTCCCAAAAGTATGCCCCATCGAAAGCAGAGGGGGTTACAGGATGGGAAAACATAGCGGTCGCCCCCGTTGAACTTCATCGCCATAACGACTATGCTAATAGTTATAAAAATAGATGCCTCGGGCATTCCTTATATTGGCAATTACAAAACAGCGGGTGGGGAAAAACGGCACTGGGAGAAAATGTCATACCATTTTTAACCTTTAAATTGGATATCTTTTAAATATTGTGCAATCGTATATTTCCTCTCAATGTTTTAAAGGATTGTAGCTATCCAATTTTAAAAATTTTTTAGAAATCCTAAAAGATTTTGAAATTTCAAAAACCCATATTTGTAATATAGTGTTACCTTTTGTCTATATGTACATATTCTTTAAGAACCCTATTTTTAAGATTTCAAGCTTAAAAACTTTGCATTTTTAAAATAAAATTAAATTTTTCCTATGAATATTTTTAAAGAACCCTATTTAATACCTCATTGTAAAATTCCATATTTCCATTACCAAAAAGGTAAATATTTTTTCCAGTGCACAGGAAACCGTCGGAGATTGTTTACATCTTCCCATTCAGATTCAATCGCCGTACTAATCCAATTTGTAGCGCCGCCGTCACGCAATTTAGCCTTGTAACCTGCCCACCTGTACTTCCTATTTTCGCCGGTCCCACAATTTCCCCCGGAAAACCCGCCGAAATACGAATTTCTGGAGGGAAACTCACCGACTTGGGACTTGGCGTCCGCTTTTTATTTATTTCGCGGATCTGCTGGTGGGCGAATGCCGATTTGACATCGATAGCGCGCCGTTGCAATGGTTACGCAAGATATCGATGAGTCTATTTGTGCGATGGTCCACCTTTGAAAATATTGAATTAAAATAATATTATTAATAATAAACAATTAAGCATCTTGTTTTTTGTTCCAAAACTGAATCAACTTGGCTTTTGTTAAGGCTTCAGGTTTTCAATTGTAAAAATTGCACAATCCCTCTATTCTCTTCGTCTATTTCCTAACGAATCTGGAAAACATTCTGAAAGAAGTAAACTGAGGACTTTGGTGACCCCAAAAATTAAATTTAGGAAGACTTTTACCAGTTGCACAAGTTAGTTAATCATTCATTTATGTTTTTCTTTTAAAATACAAAGCGCGCCAAATTAAAGCAATTCAAATATCGATAACCCACCATTTCTAGCAGCGCAGTTCAGTCATCGATAGCGATTGCGGCAATCGGCCAGCGGAAATCGAATCGAAATCGGAAAAACGTGTGAAAAAGGTGCGTGACAATTTTATTGTTGAATTCTGCTCGATTTTCACCGATTTCCAACGCTTTTCCCACACAGCAATAGTAAGCAAGCATGACTGGACGCGAGGGCGGTAAGAAGAAGCCTCTGAAGGCGCCGAAGAAGGACTCCAAGGACCTGGACGAGGACGACATGGCCTTCAAGCAGAAGCAGAAGGAGCAGCAGAAGGCTCTGGATGCGGCCAAGGCGAATGCCTCCAAGAAGGGACCCCTCGTCGGCGGCGGGATCAAGAAGTCGGGCAAGAAGTGATGCAGTAGCTGGACACACACACAGTCACCCACAGCCCACTGCCAGCCACGCCCCCCACAACCACAATCCGCAGCCCACAGACCACGGGATGCTGCATTTCACAACCGAATCACACCCATGTGGACCAAATTGATCGTCTAGCCAGTTGGACCTTAAGTTTTTTTTATACTTACGCTTACCATTAAATAGAGCATTGTACGTCGGGATAGAGATAGAGATTTATTGTTCGGACAGAATTTAGAGGCCGATTACCCCCCTCTAAGTACGTGGAAAGCTGGCCTGCGTTCCTGGCAGCTGGACGGACTGCGAGGCCACGGCGCAGGCGGCGGCTATGTGCTCCTCCAGCTTGTTCTTCGGATGGCGGGCCATGTTGTGGGCCAGGGCGCCAATGAAGGCGTCGCCGGCTCCCGTGGTGTCTACCACTTTCTCGGCCGGCACATGCGGGGCAGCCACATGCTGGTAAACGCCTGCCGAATCGGCGGATCCAAAAACGGCTCCCAGCTTACCCAAAGTTATGATCACCGTGTTGGCACCCATCTTTATCAGCTTGCCAGCTGCATTTTTAGCTTCCCTGAGAGGAGGAATACAGAGATTAGAAGGGTTTATCCTGATTTATAGGGGTAAACTTACTCTACGGTCTCGATTTGGGCCATCTGGGTCATCAGCGCTGCCTCGCTTTCGTTCACACAGAAGATGCTGGCCAGCTGGAGCAGCTCCCGGGGTGTATTCTCCATGGCTGGGGCCGCATTTACGATGGACACGCCTTTGAAGTGCTTTAAAGCAGTCAGCGTGGCCTCAATGGGCGTCTCCAGCTGGCAGACCAAGACCTTGGCCTCCAGGAAGAGCTCCTCCGCCTGGGCCACGTCGCAGGGGCTCAGCTGGCTGTTGGCGCCCACCACAATGATAATGTTGTTCTCGCCGCCATCGGACACAGCGATCTGGGCCACGCCCGTCGTCTGGCCCTCCAGCTGCTGGACGTGCTCCACATTGACGCCCTCGTCGCGCAGCTGTCGCAGATAGTCGCCGCCAAAGGTGTCGGCCCCCAGTTTGGCCACCAGAGCTGTCCGGGATCCCTGTCGAGCGGCGGCCACACACTGATTGGCGCCCTTGCCGCCGTAGCCCGTCTGGAAACGGTGTCCGTGGAGCGTTTCTCCTGGTTTCGGCAGGCGGGGCGTGTAGCTGCGAGGAGGGATACGATTCGGTTAGACCTTGGATGGGATCGTAGGGCACACCACTCACCATATAAAGTCTATGATGGCCGAGCCAAAGACCAGCACTTCGGTGGTTTGCGTTTGAGCCATGTCGTCACCCGTATTCGCTGCAAAAATGCACTGGTTTGTTGTCAAATGGAGCGAGTGTTCCGTGGCGCTTATCAGCCCGAGATTGTGTGACCCCCGCGGATGAGGGGCAAGGGCAAGGACGGGGCGGTGGCGGTGGGCGGAGCACTATCAGCTAGCAGGCCCACTCCATTCCTGGCCAAGATCGGGTGGGGCAGGGCGATAAATAAGCTAATATATGGCCAGGAAAATACCAGAAAATACTATGAGTACTAGATTATATTTTGAATTACATATACATATGGGGAACCTAAAATATTATTAAAATATTTCTAAAAAAAAAACATTTTAGTTTAATTTTAGGATTATAAAAATTAACCTCATTTAAATTCGCAAAAGTTTATATCTGGAACATCTGATCTTAGGCGGGAATTTTGAATTTCCATTATCTAAACATAACAGCATGCAAAGCAAATCCAGATTTTATTGGAAAACCTAAAATTTATCTTTAAATAATCCATAACTAAATGAAATATTCAAAAAAAGATTAAATATAAAGTTACATATTATATTTCTTTAAAATATGTTTTTAAATTAAAACCCAAATTGTTAAAGCCTTTATGAAAAACCTTTGCTAGTTAAATTACTATACATATGTTTATGATTCAGCAGATTTTAAAACGTAAAAATGAAAAGTAATGAAACCTAATATATTTCAAATAAATTGTTTTCAGAATTAATCTATTGGTTTATGAGAATGCCAAACAGCAAAGTGGTAGCAAAATCTTCAAATAGAAAGAGATAACACCATGGCATCATATAAATCATAATATTTATTAAATATACATAGTACAAATATATCGACTGGGCTGGCCATGGGACAATAAGTGTAAGGGACCAAAAACAATTAAAGCCTATTGGGTAATACATATGTTTTGGGTTTGGGACTGGATTTGGAGTTGGGACATAACACATAGGCGTTCCGTTCTGGGGGTATAATTAGAATTACAAGCCACTCTACCGATTTACACGTGTTTAAATATAGCGTACAACTAGCGAGCGTTTTAAGGACTAGTCCTTGTGGATTGGATTTCGATCCCCAATGCCGTATCCAAGCATCCGGCTGCATAACTCTGCTCTCTTCGGTTACTCTGCTGATTATCCTGCTTAGACTCTATTATTGCGACTCGTGGCGGATGGAGGAGTGAGGATCAAGGATTGCGAATTGAGATGAACATTGAGTGGACTGCACAGCCAATGTATTTCCCCGGCAATCCTAGATACCGGCCCGCTCCAGGGCACTCAGTTGAGTGCCCAGGCGCTCCTCCTTGGCCTTGCGCTCGGCGCTGATCTTCTTGGAGCTCTGGTATGTGTTGAGGAACGTCTGCACATCGATCTTGCCGTTCAGGAAGTGCTCCACATGCCGATCACAGTCGGCATCGGCATTGGAGGCGGCAATCTGAAGGAGTTCCTATGGGGGGAGCCAAGGAAACGGGGCATTATTATAGGTATATAATGATTTTCTTAAGGAGAAACCTGGGGAAACCAATGATGAATCACCCTTTGCCACCTTTCAAAAGACCTTCAATACCCACCCTCATGTGCTGTGGAGCATATTCCTCTGACTTCTTCAAGTACTTCTTATTCAGCTGGTCGCATTTCTCGCCCAGGGTCTTTAAAGCTGTGTAATCATCGCTGAGACGGCGCTTCAGCTCCACCAGGTGGCTGCCCTTGCTCTCATTCTCCCCTAGATTGTAAGGATGAACGGGTTTTAGTGCATCTCTGTCCAACCCTCCGCCTTGGACCCACCCACTTGATATGTTCTCCACCTGGTTCATCATCGAGTCAAGCTCCTCGTTCAGGTGCTGCACCACGGACATCTCCTCGATGAAGTCGTCGAAGAACTCGGGATCCCTGTCCAGCTGCTTCAGTTCGTCCAGCGACAATGTGGATAGATTGGGCATGTTGCCCGCCTCGCCGCCGTTCTCCGTCGAGTCCTTGGCCTCGCTCCTATCGAGGGCGTGTCCTTGCGCGAGTGAGTGGGCGTGGCCGTGACCTTGTGGCGAATGCTGAGTGGTGGGCATCTTTTGTTGTGTGTTGTGTTTTTGGTTTTTAGTTCCAGCTTCCAAGTTCCAGTAGATGTGCGTTAGGATCAACTAGAAATTTACGAATGAGCGTTAGTCGGGTGAAGGGTGACAAAAGTTAGATGCCTCGCTTACTGGGTTTCCAAAAGCCGAGGCTCGTCGGCACGAGCTGGAGCACCCCCTGACCTCCACTGGGAGTTGGCGACCCCGGCTGCGGACGATGAATTGCGATTTATAGCTATGCTTTTCGTGAAGGTTCTGTCTGATTTCGGGGCGACGCCAATGAGCGCACTGCTCACCCAATCTCCGTCTGCTGATTTCCTGATCTTTCCTGCCTTTTGCCTGGGGATCGGGAGCACTTGCTTTGTTTGCCCCGATCGGAGTTTCATTATCTTCTGTTCTGGGTTTAATCTAGTGCTGCCAAGCCAGCTACTTTACAGACAGATTGGGCTTTTTTCAAGAACTGCAAGCAGGAAAGTATGCTGTGTTAGCCTTAAGATGTGCTCTTTAATAATTATTAAATATATATATTTAATTAATAGCGTAAGAGACCAAAAAAAGTGAATGTTTTATAAATGTTTTGAAATGGATGCAGCTATTTTTAACATCTAGCTACATTTTGGCAATAAAAGGTGGCAACTCTTGTTCGCAAAGCACCGTTGGCTGGCTGGGCTGCCACCCCTCGCGCAAGGGTAGTTTTTAAAGGCCATTTGGGGGTTAAGGCCACTAATTATTTATAGTGTTTAAGGCAGCTAGATTAATCTTCTTTTTTTTAAATCATATATATCAATTTAATTTACCTACTATTCTTAATTAGTTAAATGTTTTAAAGCCAGCTCAGCTAAGGGGCTAAAGTTGCGGTTCTCGTTCATTGTGCACATCTGGCAGCCCTGGCCATCAGCTGTTCGTTTTTGTTTACAATTTGCCTCGTTACTTTACATAACAAATTTGGGAATTTCAACAAATAAACACGAAATGGCGCTCTTCGAGATGAAATGGCTGCGCCGCTGGGTGCGACGCAACACCAATCCCATACCGGAGCACCGGGCAGAGCTGTGGAAGCGGCGCCTGAGCATCGGCTACGCCGTTTTGGCCTGGCAGGCCTTCGGCCTCGTCTGCTACATGGTCTACACCGGGCGCAACGACTGGGCCAAATTCTACGGCTACAAGACGGAGGAGGAGCTGGCCCTGTCGCCGGCACAGCAGTTCGCCAAGCACCTGAAGGTCGAGGGCACCGGCAAGATCATCCGCTTCTCGGGCTTCCACAAGGTCGAGGAGGTGCCCTTCGACGCCAGCGAGGTGGAGCGAGTCAGGGAGTAGCCGCAGCGCCTTACTCTCTACTAGATTTAGTACACCCTTCTTTTTTTTGAACAAGCGTATCTTAATTGTCATTAAAGCTTATCAATAGGACTTAATACTGGTGTTTTTTTTACCTAAATATGGTTCTTGTGTGCTAATATAATGTTCCTGGTTTTAAACACCTTCAAAAGGTACATAAGAAAGTAGGACATTCATTTATACGCAGTTGGTTAAATTTAAACACTTTTTTGATCGTATTTGTATTGTATTTAAGTTGTTTTCGAACAATTGCTTTAAATATAACTATTCTGTAAGTAAGCAATAGAATAATAGATGATTTAAAAGAAATCAATTTATAATCGTTGTGTACGAGGATCTTAGGATCTTATACTAAGCCTATTTTTTAAACCTTTCTTATTAAATCATACGTTAAAGGTGTTTTTCACAACAACAACAAAAAATTAGATTTTACGATTTCTCAGGCATCTCTTGAATTTAATGATTATGAACCAAATAGGTATTCTATTCATTTTTAAAAAGTTCTTCCCCATTAAATCGCATGTCTTGATCAAAACTAAAATTTGAAAATTGGTGGTACCGTACTGTTGGCATTCGGTATTCTGGTATATTTTGGCGCGAAACCGCGAATGTAATCGATGGCCTGCCATCGCCAGCGATAACAACAATAACAAAACGCAACAACAAAAAACGCAGCGCGTCGAGCGGATCGTTTGGCGTTTGCTTGGCCAATAACAACAATAACAAAAGAAAAGCGTAACATATTGCCAGGCTGCGGCGGTAACGGTATTAACCCACAGCGATAGCTTTTAACCCGTAAACAACACACAAGTGCAGTGTGCAGTGATTTCCAATCGGAGATTTCCGATTCCGTGCGACACTTCTATAAATAAAACAACAAATCGAACGCAGCGCAGCAGCGGCAGCAGCAGCAGCATCTTCTTCGCTGTCGTCCAGTGCAAAGTCATATTTTTAATTGTAACGGAGAAAAACTAAATGAATATTAATTGCCCATCAAGCGGAGGTCATTGGCTATCGGCCTCTCTTTCGCTCCCCCTCTCTGGCCCCATCTAACTGCACTGCTGTGTGTGTGTGTCTGCAAAATAACGGGACTAACGGCAGCCAACTGCAGAAACAACAACAAATGGCATTTGCAGATGGCGGCTTCGTCTAATTGGAATTTGTGCAACAAAAACAGAAATAGAAGAAAAACTAAAACAAAAAGAGCCGCAAATAATTGCTAATTAGTTGCATTTTTTCCATTGTTGCAAGGCTTCGCTTACGAATTTCTAATGTAATTAAAGCGGCAGCTGTTTTTTTTCGAGTGTGTGTGTGTCTGTGATCTCTTTTATTTTCATTTTTTTCTATGTGCAGCAACCAAAAAAATAATAATAAAGAGAAGTTAAAGGTGCAAGTGCCTCACAAATACATGCAAAACTAGCGGAGACGGCAACCGAAAAAGGAAGAAGGAGAGAGAGTCTAGGAGAAGAACCGTTTGATTGATTTTGATTGTTGCCGTGCCTCCTTCTCTCCTCCTCTTCTTCCCCTCTTCTTCATACCCCGCGGGACGAAGGGTGAGTAAAAAGTACAATAGACCAAAAAAAAAGAAAAACACTTTAAACCAGATTCCCATTGTTGTTGCTAGTTTTCGAAACGAAAACGATTAAAAGCGCATTAATTATATAATTTTCGGGGAAGTGAAACTCTGAAACTTCCACTTTCTGCTTCTAATACAGCAAAACGTAAACCATCAACAAAGAAACTTTAAAAAACTTCGCAGCCACGCATAAATATTTATGTGTCTCAAAAGAAACCAGAGAAAAAAAGAGTCTTTTTTAGAAATGTTAGCGAAAATGAAACCGTTTTCTAAAAATAATTTATTGTCGCCGGCGTTTGTGTCTCTGCCGCAAACTATATAAACCATACAACATATAACACACAACATATGGCAAGCAGAGCGAACAAAGGCCGATAAACACAAACATAAACATATCAAAAGAGAGCAGCGCATAATTCGAGCGGTAAAACGGCCAGCAAACAGTTCGCGGCGACTGCGCAGTCCGCTGCAGCAGCGAAAAATATGGATCCAAAATTTCCGGGGGGTTCCTCTTCAAAGATCACTATATCTTCATAATATTATTCCATCTATCTTATCGTCTGTAAAAAGATAGTTTTACAAATTATTGGAGGGTTCCTTATAAAATATCATAACCATATGTGATATAAGAATATGGGTCCAAAACTTCCGGTGGCTTCTCCTTCAAAGATCACTATATCTTCATAATATTATTCCATCTATCTTATCGTCTGTAAAATGGTAATTTTACAAACTATTGGAGGGTTCCTTATCAACTATAACCATGTGTGATATAAAAAGTTTCATTCTTGGATTGGTTTATAAGATTGGTATAAGATACTATGACCCCTATGTATAAACACAAAATTATTTAAGATTCATTTTTCTAAATGTAAAAATTAAATAATATGTATATCATACAAGAAGGGAGCTGCAAATTCCTTTTACCAATCCCTTAATCCATGAGATCAAAAAAGAAAACAGATTTTTTATATGATAAGTAAGCATTTCAAGCGTTTCTTGCCTATGAAAGAAGAGTAAAAATTGTTATTCCAACAGATTGTGATAATCTGGCCTAAATAATTGATTATATAATAATCCCTTGACTCTTGCTTATAACTTACTTACTTATAAGATCAACGGAAACAGTGTCTGTACCAGAAGTACCATTGGTATACCTGATATCATTTGTTTCCGTTTCCCACTCTGTTCTGAAATATCTCGATTATCTTCTTTACTATAATCTGTCATCTGATCTTAATAATTTCCTGAGAGTGTGGGAAAACGAAGCGATATGGCCGACTGTTTAGGGTATAGCGCACATTTCTTTGGCGCGCCAAAGCGTAACATTCATAAAGAAACGAAAATTCACAGAGCAACTGCCCCCTTTTTGCCTTTCAAACGCAAGTGAATGCCCGGAGGGGCTATGAACCCCCCTTCTGGTTACTTTTTTTATTTTTTGAATATGTCAGGAGCGAATGAATGGCCAAGTTTTTAAGTTTTAACTGGCTGCCCAGTGGTTTTCTCAGGTGGCCATTGGCCAGCAACGAAATGCGATCCCAAAAAGGGGGTTTCGCGGGGGGCTCGAGCTTTCTGCGGTTATCACCAGCTGTTTCCAGGGGCGTACAGGGAAGCAGGGGGAGCAGTGGCGGGGGGAAGATGGGTGAAAGGGGGCGGGCGGCCTTAACGATAAGCGCTGTTTTGGCCTGGCTTTTTGGTCATAGACCTCTAACGTACCTAGCTTACGAACAATAAAAATCATAAAAGAGAAACGTGGTGGGTAAAAAGTGACAGGGGGGGTTAGGCCGAGAGAAACGTGGAAGTGGCAGAAATGCAGAAAACCGCAAATGACCCCCCACCCCCAAAAGCGACGCGCTTTGCTGCCTCTTGCGGTTTCTTGGGCTGATTTCTTCTGCTTTTGCTGCCTCTGATAAGCCCCACGCTTACGAAGAGGCATCAGAAGAAAAGCCCCAGAAGAACGGTCCGAAGAATCGGAAGAATTAGCCAACTACCCGCTCACTGCGAGAAATTGCGGGCTTGAACCGGGGCTTCAATTTTGAAAAACTAGAATAATTTAATAAACATATTCGAGTAAGGAAGAAGTTTAATTTTTTATTTTTTCCCACCAAAAGCTCATTAAATACTATCATCTGGCAATCTGGATTGGTAATTTCGCTCAGTGCACGCACACGCAACGCGCAAAATATCAAGATATCAAGAAGGTAGCAAAGAATGCGGGGAGAGTCGCCGACTAAATTGAATTGTAATTCAACGCCATGGGAGCTCGACTTTGGTCAATGTCTCCAGGTCTCTGATAAACCAAACCTCTTTACAATCCAGACCAACCTTCTCACCTTTTCGAAGCCAAGCAAATTCCAAACTACTAGCTATTTCAAATGGATCAAGAAAATATGTTTGACTTAGCTAAGAATCTAGGAAAAGTCGAAGGTCACTGGATTTGTATACGAGGTCTGAACTTTGGAGCCTCTCTGGCGGTATTTTAAATAAGTGGAGATTATCTTGCTAAGAAGTTCCATTTTCGGTAGTTAAACAGAATCAAAGTCCCAATGTATTTATGCTTTGAATGGGTAATCTGTTTTTAATAAGAACCTTACCGTATATAAAAGTATAAACTATAAAAATATATTTGTATTCAGTTCGTATTTATTGGAAAAACTTAACAAAAAAAATAGAACCCTTTGGATATATTTAAGTCTTATTTTGTCTCCAAATTCTAAAAAGTATATAAAAACCTCTTCAAGAATGCAAAAGAAAAATTTACCATTTAATTAAATGAACTAAATTTCAAAACGTAAATAAATCTAAAATAGTTCTTGGTAGAAAATAAGTTAAATCTCGAAATGAGCGACCAGTTCATTAACATCTAAACCTTTAGTTGGCACATTACTGTCTCTTTCGATTGTTTTTGAAAATTATATTTCTTGGCGCCAACTCAGTGTTGGGCAACGCGTCACGCATGCGCCGTGGCCGCAAGCGCCCTCTGGCGGCGGAGTGTTATCGGTCGGCGTTATCGATAGGCGCCGTTGACTGGACACTTGTTGTTGTTGTTTGCAGAAAGCAGCAGAAACAGAAAACGCGCGTCGCTTTGTTGCCAGTTCGTTTATTTAGTGCCGTGCGTTGTTCCCCCCGTTTTGCCTACTTTACCATTAATTTTTTTTAACTGTTTTCCCCCGAACTCTGTGCAACATTAAAGGTTTTTATTAAAGTAGCAATAAACCAAAAAATAAACCTCGGCTCGGTACGTGCGTGTGTGTGTGTGTTAGAGCAGCATATTTGTGTGCGTGTGGAGTTGGCTTTTTGTTTTGCTGTCGTATTCCGGTTTTTTCGACGAAAGAGAGTGCGAAAATCGAAAGAAATCCCTTTTACAGTTATCTGGTGCAAATAATTAAACGGTGTTGTTGGGTGTTTGATTCACTACCCACCTCTCTTTCTCTACGCCTCTCCCCTCTCCCTTGATTTTTTTTTATTCAATTATCGTGCTCTTTCTGGCAACTCCATTGT